AATTAAGGCAGCGCCTTAATCGGTAGTATGAGCTCATCCTGCGCGGACTCCCAGGAGTTGATGGAAAAGCGTGCCGCTATCTTTTCGGGCCAATGTCGTTATAGAGGTGCCCCTCACTTCGATCTTCCGTGCACGCTGAATAATTTATTGAAAATAACCAAATATTTATCAACAATGACTGCAATAGATATAAAATGCCTAAACGACGGAAAATGACTGAAAATTATGAAAAGTGACCAAAAACATGATGAAATATTATTGTGTACAGTGATTAACAATAGTGAGGAGACCCCTCGGTCGTTATGCTTCGGGTGTATTTTTTTTTTGATACGCTCCAGTGTTGCGGGCTTGCATACTCAATATAAGCGCCGGGGCCATGCCATGCCATGCCCCCCCCCCCACAGGTGTAAAAAGAAGGCACACATGGGTCGCGTTTATAGAGGGTCCCAACACAAACCTGCCTGCATTCAGCGCTGAGTTACACTTCAGGCCACGATGCATCTCTGCACCCACAGCTTAGGCAAGACCGGCCAAGACTCATCCAGGGAAGGGAGAAAAAACAGAATGAGGCCGATAACTGCGGTGACAAAAGAAGGCGGTGAAAAAAATGACGCACAGACACTGCCGTACGCTGTCGAGCTATCTCTCATGCTCTCTCCCCAGTCGTTTTGGGGGCCGTCAGGGGAACTTTGTTTTCGGCAGCGATCTCATTTTTATTTTAGCTCCAGCTTTCCCGACCGACTATCACGTCCTTGACAATCTTCTTTATTGTCTTTCCGTGTCATATTCCCTTGGGCTGTGCCCTGGTGCGTAGGCTAGGCGTAGGTGTGTGTGGGTGAGGGTGTGTGCGTGCGTGAGAGAAGAGGGGGGGGGGGCATGCCGGAGAAGGACCACAGTATTATGTCACAGATAAGGAAATTGTAACGGCCAGCAACAGCTATCACTTCCCTTTTTTTTCTATTTTTTTATGCCATATCGGAAGCTGACCTCATATCTCTCCATCAGCAGTTGCCTCCTCTCTCAGTCGGCCTACCCTCCTTGACGGTCGTGACCAGGACGCCGCTGCACGCTCCATCTCCTTGGACCAAATTCCCCACAGACTACATAGGGTGCTGCAAGAACTCTTATCCTTTGATTTGACGATTTGACTTATTTCCGCGAAAAGAATAAAGACTGATGCCGGTAAATACACTCCTAGCCGCCCTCTTACCTTACCGCCTGGCACTTGTCCTCGACTGTTCACCCTATAGTGGAAGAGACAAAAGAAACAGGACCCCTCCAAGACTTTTTTTCTTCTTCTCCCTTTCCGCGCTCTCCCTTCTAGCGACGTTTTTTCGCTGCTTCTTGTTTCTCCGCCCACGTCACTGCTCCCTTTCATTTACATAGTCATCATTCTTGCTGTCACCAAGATTATGTCAGGGAAGGCGCCTCCGTGTGGCGATATCTCGCACTTCCGGTGCGAGGTGCCGAGCATTGCTTCGGTGGAAGAGCAAGCCCACAGCTTCTCCCGTGGGGGCGAGAAGACGGCACTTAGTACTTTAGAGGGCTCGGGGTAGCTGTTCGTCTTTTTCTTGGTGCCCTTTTTTGTCGCTCTCACGTGGCTCTGATCTGACCCTCGGCGTGTTGAATCTTCGTCTAATCAGTTGGCGCATGCAAACTAGGATCTGAGAAAGAAAGAAAGAAAGAAAGAAAGAAAGAAAGAAAGAAAGAAAGAAAGAAAGAAAGAAAGAAAGAGGGTCGATTTGAGCTATCACTAGGTAGACGACTTGCTAATGTTTGCACGCCGATAAGGTTTTTAGTGCGAGTTTACAACGTCTTTGTACCCACCGGAGCTTTACGGATTTCCTGGACTTCCCTAAATTATCTTGTCCCAACTTGTCTTGAACATTGCTTCTCATGTTCTCTGCCACTCCTACTATTCCTGCTTTCTAGAAATATAATTCGACGTTGTAGGTATCATACTCGTTCGTTTTGATTTTTATTTAAGTAAAGAGAAATTAACCTTACAAAACCTTCACTGTAAATGGGTTGGCGTCTTATGACGCCAAAATTTGGCGTCTTTTAGGATTTCGCGTCATAGGACGCCAAAATTTGGCGTCATAAGACGCCAGAATTTGGTGTCATAAGACGCCAATATTTCGGCGTCAAATGACACTAACCCATTTACAGTGTTACAAAAGTTGGACCTAATGAAAATGCAAGAGAGCGAATACGGGCACCGTGCCACTTTTAGTAGCCCAAGTAGGGTAACAGAACAACCCAGTTAATGCGTTCGTGATTTCAGTGCATTTTTCGTGTAATTAGCGTGATTTTCGTGGTTGCATTGCGCTTTGGTTGAAAGCATTACTCAAAACGAGCGCAATCCTACTTTATCCATAGCGAAGCGACTGCTTCTACTCCATACTTCGACGCGAAGTAGCGGCGCTGCGGCCGGCGGGATATAGACGCGTCAGCAGAGCGTCTCTGTGCCGCGTGGAGTAGTGGCAGCGTGCGCTTGGCTCACTGAGCACATGGGGTAGCGATGTCGAGATGAGTATCGATCGACACGTGACACGGGTGCTAACAGAAAATGGAATTAATCTCATTTAGACTTCCAAATGCCGGTTTTGAGACACACGTGGTACCTTGTGGTGGGGTGGGACACGGATTTTTTTTTAAATGGCAGCAAAGTTGAATGTGCATGTGCCATTCATGTTTATTGTCCGATTCTTAAAACATTGAGTTCCACATGTGGCATTTACAAATCTGTATTGCACTGCGAGTAATCACAAAATTGATATGTTTGTTTAACGAGTCACACTTTTCTACGGCTAGTTTAATGCACATTATAGTATTATAAATTACTTACAAAACAGAACAGAAAAAGGTATTCAAAGTAAGTATCAAAAGATACAAACTACACGTCATTTCAATTAACATTTAGTTAATATTCCTCAAATAACTAAAACTCCTCATTAAATTTCAGCTTTACGTGCAACGGAGATCAAGCGTAAGGCATATTTCTTGTGAGTACCGTACTATTTTAGTTCCCTACAACCAGCACTAAAGCATGGCTATAAGTCATCAAATTCAAGTAAGTTGTAATTTAAGAATAGTAAATTTTAATACGCAATGCAGACAAGAAATTAATTGCCGATCTAAGCTATGAGTGGAGTTTTTAAAATACGAGACAATCAGTTATAAACCTTATCTCTAACCCTTTTGAAAGAAAGATAGTGTTAGGAATGCTGAATTGGCAGCGGAATCAAATGATGGAAAATTTTGCTCTACAAATGGGTGCTATTGGGAAATAATTTCAGGCTTCACAAATACTTTTTCGGAAAAGACTAGAGCATTCTTAAACAAATGATATGCAATGTAAAATGTTGATTTCGATTTAGGCTGCCTCAATTCTTCCTTGCGTCTATTAAAAGATGTTTTTCTCTGATTCTTTTGTAATCGCACGCAAGTACATACTTACAATATAATACGAGTGAAAAACTTTGGCTTTTTTTTACATTGAAAGTTGTTTTAGGCCACCTATATAAATACGTTTTGAATATACTTTACATAATAAGAATTAGTTACGTCTCACACAAAAATCATCTTTATAGCTAAACATCAACACACACACAGAACTCTACGGTAAGCCTTTTATCTGCCCGGAGGTGAGGCACATAATGATATGTACGGTAAAAATTGTTTCGTTTCTCCGATTCAAAACAATTACTTCACTTTTAACTACCCATGATAGGCCTCTCCTTTTTCCAACCAATGGTCTTTTATAATGATATTATCATGTTGACATACATTTATAAAACAGTAATCAAAATTAATCGGATATGAGTTCAACTGTTTAGAAGAACTAAGACATCGTTCAGGTACGTCTTCATGCCACATGAGAACGGCTTCGGATTGCGAAAGGTGACTGTCAACGTCAAATTAACATTTCACATCCGTTTGAATGGTTCATCAAACGCTTCGCCATACAAGCACATTCAAACAAGTAGAAAAGATAACACAGTACTGTATAAAAGAAGTAGAATGCTAACGCTCATTGTTAAGTTCGGCAATAGCACAGTTGCTTTTGACTTTGTTTGCTGATACATTTTCCCCCCGCATCCCATTTTCGCAAGGGGCAATTCCTGCACGGAATATTCCCGATGTTCTGACTGCATATGGCAAATCACGTTTCTTGGATCCTCTCCGGGTGGCCGCTTGTTTTTGTACCAATCTGTGTACCAGGCGAGATCACAGTCACATTTTAAAGGGTTGCCTGCAAATACAAAGAAAGAAAAATTAATATAACTAACGGTCGAGACCATGTACTATTTAACTTATGTAAGTGTATTTTCCCGTAAACGTACCTGACATTTCGATCAATACAAGCGATTCCATGAACGGCGCAACAACTTCTTCTGGCAGCGTAATAAGCTGATTGTTTTGCACGTAGATCCTCTCGAGGTAGTGGAATTTCTCAAAAGCCGCTATAGGCAGGTGCTTGAGCCTGAAACAGCGGTAGTTTGGTCACTTACGTCGATGTAAGCAAAGACTTCATCGCAACGCTCCCCCGACGGACGTTCAAAACAAATCAGCACTTGCCTACTTAATTTACTCAAATTTTTCAGAGGGCCGAATGCTGGAACTAAAGTCTTCGCAGCACCTACTAGTTTGTCGCTGATAAATATGTCTTACAATGGTCTTTAGTATGACACGATAGAGGTTGTCAAGCATATCTACAGGTAATAAAAAAAAACGCGCAAAGAACGAGAAATTTACAAACGATTAGGCGGACAGAGATAATTAAGGATACCGAGAGCTCCTGCTTCTAGTTACTCAGCGATAAACGGCCCTAGTCACAAGGCTCGGCATCGAATCCTACTGCTTGTGAGCCCCTAAAGAAATTGGTAACACAGTGGAGAGAGTTGCATTCCGACAGTTCTTCAGATGCGGGTGTGGATTGTTTCTAGCCGACACCTGTTTGAAAACTGGGACAAGAAGAAACGTACTTGAGAAAAAGATTTTTCTTATATGGAATGATTTAAATTTATTTATCCGAAATGATAATCACATTAAAATGAACACAATTTTATCCAAATGTGATATCGTTACACGTGGCGATGTTCTAGGGAACCACAAAAAAATATGACGAGGGGGATGGAATGATAAAAAGATGGTTATCAATGAATGTCGCATGATTTTAAAAATACGAGTAGATTCACTATATAAGTAATGTACAATATATAGATTTTTAAAATATTGATATGTACTCAAACAATCTAAATTAACTTGCAGCGGTTAGTAGTATGATACAAGATAGGAAACCAACTGCTGCAAGGTGGGTGTTTTTCTCCGGCATTGCCAACTGCCCCAGGACACTTATAAACGATGGCCTGACACGAGGAAAAAGATCGTAAAAAAATATTGCACGATGAGCAAGTGCCGGTGCAAGTGTGGCAATGCACGAATAAAACCGATATGTATCGAATGGTTCTTGTGCCGCCCTCGAAGGACTGGTCACGGTGCCTTAGCTAAACATCAAATGGAACTACTCTAAAAAAACACAGAGCAATATCTACAACGTAAAATATATGCTTCAACATTTTTGAACACGTACTTACGAAACACCACGCTAAACAATACACCGACAATTAATGAAAATTATGTCTATTAAAAGCTGTATGGCAAATTACTCTAAAACCAGACGCGCATTTCCAACAAGGAGAAGGCGTTGCGCTACATGAGAAATATAACACCGCAGGAAAGTTCGATTGAACATTTAAAATTAAATTGATATGTAACAAGAATGATATGTAAGTTTACTATAACATTTGAGGCACGAACACACTGACTCCACTTTCACAACAATATATCACAATATATAAAGATCATGTACAATTTCTGCGAAGAAACTTACATAGGGATACAAGGGAAATATGATATGTCGTATAAGGTACATAGATTTTAAAACCACCATTAAGATATGTAGAAGACAGTGCAGTAAACGTAATATCATGTTTAAATATAAAGACTGGCAAATTTACATGCGTTATTCTTATCAAAACATTCAATTAAAATAATTGGAAAGAATGCACGGGCCGCCACAACTGGCATTTGTTCTAATGGCCTTAAAAACGAGATTAGCCATCATCCTTTCTTGATAAGTAAAGGGCCTGGGTATGAACCCTCTGAAGGGTAGGCAACCAACACAACACGGCTACATACCCTGTCACCCTTCTTTCTTACCAAACGAACGTGGGTGTAAATGACTGCAATACATCAAACAAGAGAGAGTTAGCCAATTTTTAAGGGTCACTTGCGTTAAAAAAGGCGCACAAGACACATAAATCAATGTGTTACTTGTTATAAATCGTCGATTTAAAAAATTTAGATCGTCTTTGAAAAGGAACGCATAGCCCATGGCTGATATGTTCAGAGTCATTGCTAAAAATATAAAACTTTTCTCAGCAGTACGAGTTTTCTTTACAACAAAATTAAAAGTAAAAGAAATGAGGAACTCTCATTCTTCTTTAAGTAACACGTCCTTCTTACGAAAGATCTGACATTTATTAAGTCCTCCTAAATAACTCGGCACCCGCAAAAGTGCTTAAATTGAATAAGTAACGTCTTTATCACACGAGCATAAAATTAATAATTAAGTATAACTTTAACCGAAAAACACTCAAATTAATCAAAACAACTTTTTGTCGTGTTCTCACACAGTTGATGTGCTAGTATCAACGACGCTTTTAAAACAATCATCCAACGTGTGATGTACCAATGCACTAAAGTACATCGCAAATATTTTTATGTCGAAAATACAATTTAACAGCGAATCTTGTTAGGTGCAGGTAAAATTTTTACCCACAAAATGGCACTTTTCTCGAATCTACTGGGTAAATTGACAACATTTTCCATGGTTTGGGATAATTCGAACCACGCCAAACATACTGGAAGTATCTTTTCCAGAGAACATGAATATCATTAGAAGAACGCAAGTAGAACACATGTGATTATCATTACCACAAAAACAGTGTTCACAGCGCGCGTCTCGTAAACCTGTAAGGCTGCTGAAGTTGGCCCCAAGTTTTTCCTGACACATTGCATTTTTTCCAACGGCAGGGCCAACAGATTGTATTCCCGATGTTCGCTGTTCAAGTAGCACATGGTTTTCCGTTTATGAGCGGCGGGTTCATCAACCATTCCAACAGCTCTTCTGTACCAAGTGTGGTACCATGACAAATCGCAGGTGCAGATCAGGGGATTGTCTGCAACACAAAGGCAGTATAACCATTCGGGCCATCACCACCCCCCGCCAATTTAAATGTCAATAGGGAAAATTTTCTAAAAGAATCGTTTGTTTGTAACGCTGAGATACAGGGAGAGAGAGGGGCGG